TGTTTTAAGTATTTCAGTTAATGAAAGCGTTGTGTGCATTGTTCTCAGTCACCAGATTTGGGGCTCCTGTGGTGTGTTTTGCATGGTGTTATGGAATTTCTATGAAGTTTTGTACAGATCAACAGGCACTAAAACAACCTAATTCAAAACTCCTTCTGTCTTACAATACCAGCTGGAAAATGGTGGAATAGGACCATAGAGAGAAAGAAGATTTTATTTATATATACACCTCTACCCTGATATATCACGACCCAATATAACACAACTTCGGATATAACGCGGTAAAGCAGCGCTCCGGGGGGGGGGGGGGGGGGGAGCAGGGCTGCGCGCTATGGCGGATCAAAGCAAGTTCGATATAACGCGGCAAGATTTTTTGGCTCCCGAGGACAGCGTTATATCAGGGTAGAGGTGTGAGAGAGTGTGTGTGTGTGTGTGTGTGTGTGTATATATATATATATATATATATATATATATATATATATAAACAGCCCAGCAAACTCTTGCTAACTAAATTCTACAGATTCTGGCAAAAAATCCCAAAGTAGTTCTGATGGGAGGGGTGTTGCCCCAATTTCATAAGATTAAAATATCACAGATTGGGCAAAAAGGTTTTAAACACTTAAGGAAGCTAACCTTTTATATATACACCCATAGAGAATACTTTAGGAAATTTACTTTACTATCAGAAAGCATAGCTAATATTATACACAAACCTTGGGCCTATGAAATTCAACATCATATTTTGCTATTAACTAGGTATTACAATAAAACATTTTTGCACCATTATAATGTTTTTAAAATAAATTTTCATGTGACCCAGAAACAGTATGTGTTGTTTTTTATTTCTTTGAAAAGCAACTGGTAAAAAAAGCCCTTCAAACTATTACAGCCAGAAATCAGATTACAATTAAAACAGGTCCAACCCCGGGTATAAAAAGTCTTGACCAAATCCCTTCCCCTTTATATTAAGCCAGTAGTTCCCAAATTGTGGCCCATGAAGCCCTCATAAACCCATCGCATGCTGGGTAAAATCACCAGAGCAAGAGACCACTGCAGGACTTAAGAGGTTGGGAGGGCATGGCTGATGTATGGCTACATATTTATACCTAGGGCTTGTCTATGCATAAAATACTGCAGCTACACTGCTCTAGCACTTCATCACCTATACCAACGGGAAGGGTTCTCCCATCAGCGTAGGTTATCCATCTCCCTGAGAAACAATAGCTAGGTCAACAGAAGAATTCTTCCATTGACCTCATGCTGTACACTGGGGGCTAGGTCTGCATAACTACACCACTCAGGGGTGTGGATTTTACACACCCCTACACAATGTAGCGGGGTCCACCTAACTTTTTAGAGTAGCCCAGACTTTAGGTCGACAGAAGATTTCTAGCGACCTAGTGCTGTCTACACTGGGGATTAGGTTGGCATAATCACGTCTCTCAAGGGTGCAGATTTTTCATGCCATTGAAACATAGATTCATAGATTCTAGGACTGGAAGGGACCTCGAGAGGTCATCGAGTCCAGTCCCCTGCCCGCATGGCAGGACCAAATACTGTCTAGACCATCCCTGATAGACATTTATCTAACCTACTCTTAAATATCTCCAGAGATGGAGATTCCACAACCTCCCTAGGCAATTTATTCCAGTGTTTAACCACCCTGACAGTTAGGAACTTTTTCCTAATGTCCAACCTAGACCTCCCTTGCTGCAGTTTAAGCCCATTGCTTCTTGTTCTATCCTCAGAGGCTAAGGTGAACAAGTTTTCTCCCTCCTCCTTATGACACCCTTTTAGATACCTGAAAACTGCTATCATGTCCCCTCTCAGTCTTCTCTTTTCCAAACTAAACAAACCCAATTCTTTCAGCCTTGCTTCATAGGTCATGTTCTCAAGACCTTTAATCATTCTTGTTGCTCTTCTCTGGACCCTTTCCAATTTCTCCACATCTTTCTTGAAATGCGGTGCCCAGAACTGGACACAATACTCCAGCTGAGGCCTAACCAGAGCAGAGTAGAGCGGAAGAATGACTTCTCGTGTCTTGCTCACAACACACCTGTTAATACATCCCAGAATCACGTTTGCTTTTTTTGCAACAGCATCACACTGTTGACTCATATTTAGCTTGTGGTCCACTATAACCCCTAGATCCCTTTCTGCCGTACTCCTTCCTAGACAGTCTCTTCCCATTCTGTATGTGTGAAACTGATTTTTTCTTCCTAAGTGGAGCACTTTGCATTTGTCTTTGTTAAACTTCATCCTGTTTAACTCAGACCATTTCTCCAATTTGTCCAGATCATTTTGAATTATGACCCTGTCCTCCAAAGCAGTTGCAATCCCTCCCAGTTTGGTATCATCCGCAAACTTAATAATCGTACTTTCTATACCAATATCTAAGTCGTTAATGAAGATATTGAACAGAGCCGGTCCCAAAACAGACCCCTGCGGAACCCCACTCGTTATGCCTTTCCAGCAGGATTGGGAACCATTAATAACAACTCTCTGAGTACGGTTATCCAGCCAGTTATGCACCCACCTTATAGTAGCCCCATCTAAATTGTATTTGCCTAGTTTGTCGATAAGAATATCATGCGAGACCGTATCAAATGCCTTACTAAAGTCTAGGTATACCACATCCACAGCTTCTCCCTTATCCACAAGACTCGTTATCCTATCGAAGAAAGCTATCAAATTGGTTTGACATGATTTGTTCTTTACAAATCCATACTGGCTGTTCCCTATCACCTTACCACCTTCCAAGTGTTTGCAGATGATTTCCTTAATTACTTGCTCCATTATCTTCCCTGGCACAGAAGTTAAACTAACTGGTCTGTAGTTTCCTGGGTTGTTTTTATTTCCCTTTTTATAGATGGGCACTATATTTGCCCTTTTCCAGTCTTCTGGAATCTCTCCCGTCTCCCATGATTTTCCAAAGATAATAGCTAGAGGCTCAGATACCTCCTCTATTAGCTCCTTGAGTATTCTAGGATGCATTTCATCAGGCACATGCACCTATGCTAATGTAAGTTGCCAGTGTAAGTTAGCTCTATGTCAGTGGTTCCCAAACTGGGGTTCATGAACCCCTGGGGGTTCGCAAACTGTTGCAGGGGGTTCTCGGGGGAAAAAATCTCTAATGGTGGACAGAGCTGTCCCTAGGGACCCTGGGCAGCACAGGCCCCTGGACTTCCAAGAGCTAAGCAGATCAAAGCAGGCAGATCTATCACACTGAGGAGACTGAAACTTCAAGACTCCTTATAAGAAATGGAAAGGGAGATGGATATTTTTTGCTGTTTTTAAAATTAAATAGGCAGCTAATATTGTTTTTTAAAATTATAATGAAGAACAAGTTTAAGCTTTGTTGTAACATGCGTTGTTTGTCTGGACTGCTCAAGACCTGAATGCTTGTGTAGGAGGAACTCTGAGTTGGCTTCTTAAATACCTTCATGCTGTTTCACATCTGATACTCCTGGGTAAAACATAGAAGCCTTGTCTTATAACAGGCTTATTCAAAGTGATACAAGCTACAAAAGTGATATCTTGGAAGAATTTTGCCGTTTTCATAATGTAATAAAAATACTGTCATGATAAATAATAATTAATAATAAATATTGTGCAATAAGCATGTCATAGCAACAAATTTTATATTTCCAAGATCAGTGCTTTTATAATTTATACGCCGGTAAAGGAGAAAAATCCCTGGAAATATTTTTTTAGGAGGGGGTTCGCGAGACCTGACATTTTAGTGAAAGGGTTTCACAGGTTGTTGAAGTTTGGGAACCACTGCTCTATGTCCACATGGGAGGAGTTGTGTGGGGGGGGAGGGAGGGGAAAGGGGTTGGTCTAGTTAATGGATTGCCTGTGATCTCAGCAGGAGTGGCGCCAGGATTTTTGCTGCCCTAGGTGGCAGCGCTCCTCCCCTGAGCATTCAGGGGGCCTGGGGTCTTCGGCGGCTGGGGTCCTTCCGCTCCGCATCTTCAGGGCACTTTGGCGGCGGGTCCTGGAGCGAGTGAAGGACCCGCCGCCGAATTTCCGCCAAAGATCTGGAGCGGAAGGACCCCCCCTGCGCCGAATTTCCGCCGAGGGCGGCAAAATGCCGCCCCCCAAATCCTGCTGCCCATGGCGACTGGCTAGGGTCGCCTAGTGGAAGTGCCGGCCCTGAATCTCAGGGTAGTTGACACCTGTGCAAAGGGCCTCTGGAGATTTCACAAATGTATGGCGAGTCCCAGCCACCTGGAGTTCAGACAGTCACTTTTAACTCCAGATAAAAGTCTCTAATGAAGACCAAAGTGCGAGAGATCCTTGCTCTCTCACAAAATGCTTTGCACCACGACTCTAACGCCCACGGCACTAATCACAAGACAAGCGTGGCCCTGGCCTCCTCACCCCAGAACGCTGCCCAGCCCGCGTTCCCCAAAGGCAGCTGCGAGTGCAACGAGTATGGAACAGCCCTCAGGCTGCTGGATGCCCACACGCGGCGGGAGCCGGCCGCCGTTTCACTTGGGGGGAGCAGGCCGGCGACCAGCAGCTCCAGGGCGGGAGGGGATTAGCAACACCCCTCCTGGGGGTGAGCAGCCAGTGTGAAAAATCGGGATCGCGGCGGGGGGTAAAAGGCGCCTATACTGAAAAAAACCCCACGAACATCGGGACTGACCCTCCCCCCCGGCATCTTAGCAACCACCCCTGGGCGCCCGAGGCGGGAAGGGAGGAGCACGAGGAGCCCCGAACTCCAAGCGCGTGCACGGCCTCTCCCCCTCGCGGCCTGGCTCGTGCTCGCTGGGGCCGGGGAAACGGACGCCGCGTGCAGTCCCACTGCCCAGGCCCGCGATGAGTCTCACGCCAAAGGCCCAGCCGGGGCCCTCGCGACTCCCCCGCTCCTCCCCCCCGGCAAATGAGCCTTAGCGACCGTTATAGCCACCTCCCGCCACAAGGCGCCTCATTGCTTCTCCCTCCCACTTTCCCCCCAAGAGGCGCCTTCCCAAAGGGGCCGCCCTGTCTCTTACTCGGGCTCCCGCAGCACAGACTCCACCGCGGCGGCCATTTTGAACTTCCAAACTCCTTCGCTGCTGCTGGTGAGACGGGGCCGCGGCGCATGCGCGATGGGGCGCCAAGGGTCGAGGCGAGGAAACGCACCAGCTCGGCGACCACCGGAAACGTACCTCACCCTCCAGCGAGAGAGTAAGTTACTTCCGGTGGATCTTTTTCTAGGGAGCGTCTTTAAAGAGCCACCTCCAGGCCCAGCAGCGCAATCCCAGAACAACTGGTTGGGGAAGGGAGTCTTAGCCAGTCCCCGAGGCTCAAGCGATCTGTACGCGGCGCCGTGACACTGGCAGCTGCATGGGGCGGGCGCACCCAGCGTTTGAGAGGTGGGTGGATGATGGTGGCGGAGGGGACAAGAAATTTGGGGTGATTATAGAACAAAGGGGAGCAGGTGAAAGGCAGGTGCTCAGGACTTCTTGGGATGTGTGGCCCCTAGATGTCACCCCAAATAAGAAATGGGATACTAAACTCTGAAAACCGGGGTACAACCAAAAACTACCGAGGTTGCCTGAATTTGTGGACATATGGAGTTAATTTAAGTAAAAGAGAAACTGCCAGGGAGCCTAGGGCCAAAGTACAGACATTGTCAGGGCCGGCTCCAGGCACCAGCCCAGCAAGCAGGCGCCTGGGGCGGCCATCGGAGAGGGGTGGCACGACTGCTGCCGCCGAATTGCTGCCGAAGACTGAAGCGGCGGCTTGTTTTTATTATTTTTTTTGCTGCTTGGGGCGGCAAAAACCCTGGAGCCGGCCCTGGACATTGTAGCTATTGTTGAATTATGTTTTATAAAACTTAATAGCTCATAAACAAGATTTCATCGTTTATTGTTTTAATGTCAGAGCAGGCTTAGATGAGCATCTGCAGCCCTGATACTCAAGGCATTTGCAGCCTTGCCCTAGTGTATTAGAAGACAATGAGGCTATGTCAACACTAGCACTTTTGTTGATATAACTTATGTAACTCAGAGGTGTGAAAAAAACGCACTGAGTTACACAAACAGAAGTGCCAGTGTGGACAGCGCTATGTCAGTGTGACACGCTCTCCTGCTGACATAGCTACCATGGCTTGTTGGAGGTGGTTTAATTATGTCGATGGCCATGGGAGAGCTCTTTCCCGTCGACCTAGAGTGGCTACACAAGCGATCTTACAGCAATGCAGCTGCATCTGTACAGCTGTGCCACTGTAAACTCTCTAGTGTAGATATGGCCCTAAACTGAGTAGGAAGTCTTGCAAGATTGTCATGAAAATGTAGCAGCTAGTGATAATATTTGGGGGTGGGAATTATATTTTGCAGACATTTTTTAAAATAAATTATTCTGGATGGGAAAGGGAGACTTTTGTCAGCTGGAAAACAAAAATGAACCCCAGGTGTCTGTTTTCATTTTCAAAATGGGAAGAAATGCAGTAGAGAAACAGCATAAGCACAGAAAATTAAACTAGATTTAAAAAATGGTTTCAGTTGTGATAATCTCAGGTGCTAATAATGCTAGTACTTACTACTTTGCTATTATTACCTCTTATTCATTATAGGTACTAGATAATACTTAGCCCTGCCTTGAGTGCAGGTGGATGGACTAGACTAGACGGCCTCTTGTGGTCCCTTCCAGTGCTAGGATTGTATGATTATGGCCTAGTTATTTCTTAGTCCTGCCTCAGTGCAGGGGACTGGACTAAATGACTTATTGAGGTCCCTTCCAGTCCTGCACGTCGATGATTATGTTCTGAAAGACTAACCAAGAACTGTGCTAAACACGGCACGGAGTACTAGATGATAATATCGCGTTCCAATACCTGGTTCAAAGAGCTCATATGCAACCATAAATTACAACGTGTTGGATTATAAAGATGAAGAACCTGAAGCACAGAGGTTTAAATGACCGAGCTAAGCTCACACAGGGATGGGAACGGGGAGGCGCTCGCGGACCTCGAGCTGTCGCTGGTGGTTAAAGCTTTGAGATTTGGATTTCAAACGAGTCCTTCCGCGGCGCTCTTGGGTGCGTCACTTTACGCACAGTCCCTTAGAGTGGGGCAGCCTGGTGTTATGGAGGGAGGAGGCGGGAGGGCTGAGCGCGCGCTCTAACACTGCCCCCTGAGTTCCGGGCCGGAAGCCGGAAAGCTAGCGGAGAGGGGCGTGTCTGAGCCGCGCAGGCCCGGAAACAGGGTGAGACTAACTCAGCAACATAGCCAGTGACCCCTGCAGAGTGGAATGGAACCTTCCTCCCTTCCCTTCCCTTCACGCGCTGCTGACCCGGGCAGTGAGGGAGCTGCACGTGCTTTCAGTAGAGTCAGTCCAAGCGGCAGCGGCGGCGGCGGCAGGGGGGGAGGAGGATGAGGCGCAGCCGTTGTAGCTGTAGGTGGTGCTTTGAGGTGACCGTGTGCCCTTGGCAAAAGCGTGGGGGGAAGCCGCAGGAAAAAGGAAGAGCAGGGAGGGGGGTCGAGCTGCCAAACAGGCGCAATAGGGACCCGCCACTGATTGTCTTCCTCTGGCACTAGCCCCTGCTGCTACTACCTCCCTGGTTTTGCTGTTGAATCACTGTAGCAGGTACGGTCAGCTGGTTCTTCGCCATTCCCTGTGTAAGGGGAATTCACAGCGCCTGAAAACAAAATATAAGTAGAGCCCTGCAGTGGATACAAAATTTGTATCTGCAGCTGATCCGTGAGGGGGAGGGATAGCTCAGTGGTTTGGCCTGCTAAACCCAGGGTTGTGAGTTCAATCCTTGAGGGGGCTATTTGGGGCAAAAATCTGGCTGGGGATTGGTCCTGCTTTGAGCAGGGGGTTGGACTAGATCACCTCCTAAGGTCCCTCTAGCCCTGATATTTTATGATTCTGTGATCTGCAAACATCACTGGCTATAAAGTGGATATCTGCAGATTTTAGGGTGACCAGATGTCCCGATTTTATAGGGACAGTCCTGATTTTTGTGTCTTTTGCTTATATAGGCTCCTATTACCCCCTACCCCCGTCCCTATTTTTCACACTTGCTGTCTGGTCACCCTAGCAGATTTGCAGGGCTCTAAATATAAGGAGTGATCCTGCATTGGTGGGAGGAGGGGAAGGTATGCAGAGGGATGTACTACAGATGATCAGATCTAGGGCTTCCAGCTGCTGTGATGCATTCTGGATTATTGTTTATTTTAAAAGAATTGGGGAGGTTAACAGACTAAAGATTTATATTAAAAGGCACAGCCCTTTGTCAGTAGTGGATGTTCTGTATATATGTCAACTCTATAGATTTGTGAATGAATGTATGCTTAGATGTTTGTATCTTAATGATGCATTTTTCTATGGAAAAGGCTTTGCCATGGGATTCATAAATGTTATGCAAGTCCCAAAATGAATACACAACAAAAATCCAGTAGAGGAGAAAGTAGCAAATGGATTTGGAATTGTTTTTTTAAACATAAATAGTTTTCTAAAATCTCAAGTTTGAAGTTACAGAATAAATGTTTCATCTGTAATATTAATAATTTACTGAAGTAAAAAATGAACTGCTTTGTATGAGGCATTTAGGTTTAAATTTTCTACTGGCAAAACTTCTGTTGTCTTCCAAGAGGCTATGATTTCACCTTTGAATTTTATGTACACTGATGCAATTTAGATTATAATCTGACCCTATGTCCTCTTGTTGTAACAGCTGAGAAAAGGCAACCATAATAATTGAAGTATAAATATACCACAGCAGAGTATGCATCAATCTCTACTTGGGAAAATGTAAATAAGCACTTTATGTATATCTTGCTTAGTATTACTGAAGATTTAGAATAAATTATCTTCTTCTGGAGAAGATTGCTGACATACCAGTTTTGCAGATTATAGAACAGCTACTAACTGCTTTATTTATGTTTCTCTTATAGACTTGTGTACTTGCACTTTCTGAAGATGAATGAATTTAAATATAAATACCAAAACATTCCTTCCACAAACCTACATTTACCTGAGGAGATCACAACATCCCAATTGTATGCCTCTGCGACAGAGGGCTTTGAAGCCCAAATTGCCAGCCTGGTGGAAATGTTTTTGGTTGAAGTGTACAGGTGCAAACTTTGTCATTTCACAAGCAGTATCAAGAATAAAATCAGAACTCACATGACTAACATTCACAAACAAGGTAGAATTTGCCACATTTCTGAATGCCTTGAAATGGGCCCAGATCAAGATGAAAATGACTCATACAGCATAGGGGATGAAATCTGCCAAGAAAACAAAGAAAATGAAGAAAACCTTGCAAAGATGTCATTTCTGTTGCCCATGTACCAGATGCTTCATAACATGAGCCCTGAATGCTGTGATGTGAGCCTGGGGAATCATAGTGATAATCCTAGTGTCTCTCATTCTAGTAAGGTAAACACACTGTTTGAAGAAGAAGCAGGTCAGTTTCAGCTTGAGGAGCCCTGCTCTGTGGTGCCTAATCCCCTCTCATATTCCACAGACCCTAATGAATCTAAAAGAAGCAAAGATGAGGAGGAAGCCCAATCTGAACATCTCATGTCACTTGGCCTGTGTCGCATTTCCAGCATTAAAACGCAAACCTTAGAAGTAGAAGTGAAAACAACTAAAGTTGAAGTCAAACAAGAAAATAGTAAAAGTCAGAAGAAGGTCAGACCTGAACACCATGGCTTAGCTCAGCCTTTGAAAGGTATTTGCACCTTAAAACCAAGTGCTGAAAGAATACAACACTGCAACATATGTGACCAAGAACTGAAGTCAAAGGGTGCTTATAAAATCCATGTTAAATGTCATGATGGGGACGAGGGCTTCAAATGTGTTTATTGCAATTGCTGCATGACTGAATGGAACTTAATGGAAAATCATTTAAAAACACACAAGCCAGTAAAAGAGAGCTACCAGTGTCTGATTTGCAAGAGAGTTTTTATGTCGCCAGGTGCATGGAAAATGCACAGGAACAACCGTCATGGAAAACGTAATCTCTTTCAATGCACGAAGTGTTCATCTCTTTATGAAACTGAGCAAGTGAGAAATCTGCACGTATCTTGTCATTATGGTGACTTGTTTAAATGTCTGCACTGTGATTTTATTG